ACGTCCATAATTTTCTCCTAAAAGATACGCTTTGCTACATTGACGTCACGAAAGATTAATTACAAGGAACGGACTCATATTAAAAGTTAAATAGTAAATAAAACTAATACGTTAGTACGAAAATATATTTAATTGATAAAAACGCGTATATTATATCTTGTTTACCATTTGAATAATTACCGAAAAGCCAATGTAAATTATAATTTTAATTTGATAAAATTCTTCATATCTTATTATATACTTTGTAGTTCTCATTAGCCCATGGTTATTTTAAATTCCAGAATTCCAATTACTGGAATAAGGGTTAACGAAAAACCTAAGGAGCACTTTATAGGCCAGGCCAGCTAGGTATTTTATACCAAGTCTTAGATATAAATGAGGTAACAGGTACCTATACATATACATATAAATTGTGTATCGTTGCAACCATGGCACGCACACAAACACATTGACCTATTTAACCCCCATTTTTCTGTAATTACTCACCACTGCTTTGTTGATTCCCCCCCATTGGGGGAATGCAGATGTTTACTGAAACTACTGAAAGTTTCGATCCTCTAACAATTTACATTTTAAGCAATGTACCTCTGGAACCAGCCTTAGAATTAGAATGACAATAGAAAATGAAAGATTGCGAGCTTGAGTTGTTCGTAATTGGAAAAATTAATCGACTCACCAAACTGCTTATAGTTTACATTTTCATTCACTTGTTCAGTTTTTTATTTTAACCTTTTAAATAATTGTTTCCTTTAAATGTTTCATGAATTCATAACAATTAAAAAAGCATATTATATATCTAAAACCAAGCGTTGTACCTGCTTTACTTGAACGACGGTTGAAGGTTGAGAGCTCATTAAGAAATTAATTATTATGATATGTGTATCATAATAATTAATCGGCTATGGCTGATGTTCAAAGTCTCAGTCGTTATTCAAAATAGTACATGAATCATCGTCACCTAGCAAGCACCTAGATATATACAGGCATTTCAGGCTTGAGGGGTTGTAGGGGAGGCAGTCGCCTGAAAATCATCACGTTCACCACTTGATGACAGGGGTGATCTTAATATTGCATTTACTATGTAAAACAGACAATATTGAACTCTACTAACGATATTTGTTAAGTTTAATAAATTTAATAATTATTCAACAACTTAATAAATATTCACAATTTAATAAATATTCAACAACTTTTTATAGAAGACTAGTTGCCATTTATAAATTAATTCACAATATAAAATTTATATTATAAATTAATGTTGCTTAGCAAATTTTGATAAAAAAATAACGAAAAAAATTAAATGGATATGCGATGTATTCTAACAGGCTTGCATTACTTCTGAAACTTAGTAATATGCCATCACTGTGTAAGCCTTTGATGCTTTGATGGTCGGTTTATTGGTGACCAGTGACGCGATAAGGTAATTGAGCGTGCCAAAACAGAATATTGAAGGTTTTATTATTTGAGCTTTAAGTGCAACCGTTAGTGACTGTTCTTTAAAAAACAAAATTTCGTTATAAGCTGTAATGGTGCCTCAACGGACTTTGGTGCTTATTTCACTATATTATATTAAGTTTAGATTTTGGAGAATGGTCTGTATAAATAATGGTATAGAAGATTAGTTCTAAAATCAAAAGGACCTAACTTTGTGAATTGGTGTAGAAATAATATATTAATTGAATTAAATAAGTACTTACTCATTTATAGAAATATTATGTAGGCTGATTTTTGGATGTTAGAGCCAAGTATCAATACGTATAGTATAGTATAGTATATTATATATAATAACTAAAACCTCAATCGTCTAAAGTACATATATGTTTTTTTTTAAAGAACAGGGGGCAAACGGGCAGGAGGCTCACCTGATGGTAAAACCGCCGCCCATCGACACTCTCAATGCCAGAGGGCTCGCGAGTGCGTTGCCGGCCTTTGAAGAATTGGTACACTCTTTTCTTCAAGGACCCTAAGTCAAATTGGTTCGGAAATACTTAGAAATAGAATTATTTACAATATCGAAAACAGCATTTCCTATCATAAAACGAAACTGCAATGTAACAGCAATGTAACGTAAAAGTCAATCACCGCCCCCATATTTTGTATAGTTATGTGGCTTTTAAAGGGATCGCGTTTTAAACCTGTCGTGAGGAGAGAAGCAATTTACGAGTTTGATTGATGCCCGTTTTGGGTATTACAGGCCCACCACAGAGCTATACTTTAGAACTTTGAAAAAAATATTTTTTTAAAAGCTGATATTTTAGATAACAATATAAACTATTATAGTTTAAAATGTTTATTAAATTTATTCTTATTATTTAAAAACACACGCGTAAATTTTTTTTAATGTTCGTATTTTTATCTATAATTTTGCTGCTAGTAAAATACGATTTATAGTCTCAATTTTACAATATTTAGATATCTTTACTTTTATTCACAATATATCGGTTCTGACATTTTAAGTGATTTTGATCATGATTAAAATGTTTCCCTCCGAATTTACTTGTTTTCAATATTAACTGGCACATACAAAATGGTACCTATAGAATTAAAAACACTTCTACGTATTTGAAACTCTACGGCGTATACAGGGTATTGTCTATTGGTTTGTCAGAGGCCATTATGATCGAGTAAACAACTGTAACACCATTTACATGACTCCTTTGTGATTTAAGCGATGTTGAATTGGAATCGTACTCGTGAAAATTGCTTTTTATAATCGATTCTCGATTAAAAAGCGATTTACACCGTATTCATATTTATGATATGCAAGAATCCTTTTTACTCCAATAGGGCACGGGGCATGGGGCAGTTAGATTTCTGCGTCTGTTTCGATGATCTTTTTCCCATAGACAAGTATATGGTCAGGCCTTTGTTGATTTTAGGGAGTCAATAGATAGATAGATAACAATTTCCCCACCATACAAAGCCTTCCTTTATCGTACGCGTATGTGTTCATTGTGAACATAAAAACAATAATTTTATTTTATTTATTAATACTTCGTTGCAATAACATAATAAAAAAGACAAAATTAAATGAAAAGGAGGACAACTGGCGGCTTTATCGCTTTCGAGCGATCTCTTCCAGGCAACCACTTGAATATAAATAATGAAAGAACATTGACCATGAACCCACAGCCCTGCATATTAAAACAGGGAGGATATTTGAAAATCCTCGCTTTTCGAATACTGGTTTTCTATCTTCTAATCATTAAATAACTTAAAAAGAATCCCGAACCACTGCATTTTCACAAGAACCTTATTTTTCGCATTGATAGTGAAAACTTACGCACTTTTTTTAATCAAATACCTCAGTTTTCTAACGTCTAAACGTATTCGTGTTTATAAACGCCCAGGTGACTATGGTACTTTGACTGTTAGATAAAACATACTTATGTGTAAAGGCCTTGGAATACGACATAGAATAATATTACTGACTTTATAACTCACATAGATTCAATTGATGTCACATCTTCCACAAGTGCCATAGAGCGAACCGTAGATTTAAGATAAAGTTGTGCCCTTTGACATGTTCAGTTATTCATGAAAATTCCATATCTATGCTATCTCGCCCTTTCAACAGAACTGAACTCTTAAAGTGAGGCCTCGTATTGTGATAAAATCATTTTTATTTTCTATTTCGTATAGGATGCCCTTCAATGTAACCGAAATGTGGACATACATATGCACATCTAAAGTATGAAGCAATCACAATTATCATGTACTCTTTGAACCGTTAGGTAGCTTAAGGAAAAATTAAGATTGAAAGAATTTTACATAAAATAAGTTTCAACTTCAATCTATGAAACCTTTCCAATGTTTTTACACGCTTTATATTAGCTTCACCTGTATGTATGTATGTATGTATGTAACCGACTCCTTCGGACTCGATTTTGACCCACATTAAACGGACAGATTTAATTCAAACTTTGTACACTTATAAAGAATCAGCGACAATATAATAATTTCATAGGTTTATCTCGAAAAAAATAATGACATTTTTTTTAAGTCCACAAAGCAATACGATTAAATTGAGACAACACGTATTGCTGCTAGGACTAAAAAGTGGAAAATAAATATATAAAAGCGTGTTTTTTAGTTTTTTTTAACTATATTTATTTCTTATAACTTTGTTCATAGACTTACAAGAGGATCAGTGCAGAAAATACTGGTTGATGACTAACAATTGCAACAGGAATAAGGTTTGTAGTATGTTGGCAGCGGTGGTTAAAGGGAAGAATAAAATGAAAATACGTTAATTTAAGCGAACTGTCAACTTACTTTAATTGTTATTAATAAGAGCTTATAATAAACATCAATTAAGGAGAAGTTTGAAGCTGGTGGCAAAGACCCAAAAATTGCTGCATTGTTTTAACTATTTAAGCCACTTAATACATAGAGTTTCAAGTTGGTCGTACTGCCGTGACGCACGAGTATAGTACAACCATCTTGGATGTCTATGAGCTGAATATTTTTACATAAGAGATAAAGATTCTATTCGCCATGTCGAGGCTACAGTTAAGATGTCAAACACTTTAGCGACGCTTAGGTATTTAAAATAAACTGTGCAATCCATGAGTGTCAAAGTGCTAAGTTATAGACAAAAAAGCACAAATCATTTGTCACAGATCAAGAATCTTTAGCAATTCACTTAACACGTCCACTGTAGAATGGTTTCTTTAGATTCCCCAAGTGCAGTGTTATACATATCTATAGGTACACAATTAAAATAAGTAAGTAAATTATGAATACTTATTATTGAATACAAATCTTGTACAACTTTGTAAATTTTTATAAATAGAGAACCGAGAAACAAATAGTTTGTCATTTGTATATATTTCCATCTAAAAACTACAAATGTTGGAATTTATTAAATTTCCATTAACAATCAAAAATTTAAGGTTGTAATCATTAGTTTTTGAATCACTTATTTAATTAATAATTCTAAGATTTAACATATAAAAGCTTACGCGTTAGGTTTGTTATTAAAAAGCTAGCATTGAAAATTATCCAAACACATGCATAAATTGTATAGAGACAATGACGTAAGTAGTCATAAGGCCCAAGAATTGAAGTGGCAAACGAATATTGACAGATGCGAAGCGCCACAGCGTAAACTCGAACGGAACTTTCTCTAGGAACTTTAATGCGTCTTCTGCTATAGCGCTGATTTTGCTATCTAAAATTATAATTAAACAAATATATTTACTTTCACACAAATACATTTTCATTTTCAAGAAATCTTTATTACAACTAGTGTACAGACATCTAAACTCTAAATTTCTGTATTATTAAAATAAACATACACAATACTTCTGGTAAAGGAGATAATTCTACTTGTTACTATTATTATTTTAACCAATCCTAGTTTACCTGAACTTAGTGCAGTTATCTCTACGAAAATGATTCTTATCTTCTCCACTTCACTCTTTGTCAGCTCCATTAAGACACAAGGTAACACAAATTTCACAAAGTGAAATATTGTCTCAGCAGCCAAATGTGGGTGAACCTTAAAACATTATAAATAAAATGTATTAAGTTAAGTCTTATTGCAAATACAAGAAGAGAACAGACGTTTGTGCTTAAAAATATGTTTAAAAATATCGCACAGACAGTAAAGGGCTAAGCTATGGGGCCGTTCAAGTAATACGTAAGCAGATTTAAAGCCCCCCATCTCCTCTTTTCAGCAAAAGAAATCTAAGCTCTCCAAAATATTAGTACATAAACGTATTAATTTTTTATAGGAATCCTCGAAAATGCATTTCATTTTCAAGCATAGACAATGTGTGGGTAATATGTGTAAAAATGTAAATAATTACTGTTGACGTAATCACCAAATAAGAAAATCAAAGACCCACCCAGCCCCTACGGTACTTACATAATACTTGAACGACCCCTATTAGCTAAGGTAAGGTAAGGTGTTAACGGTTGATCGCGTGGCTGGATGCGGACAAGGCTACGCTGTTACCGTGTCCTGCCCCGGGCGATTGCTGGTGGCGCCGTGGGGTTTTAGATTTCCCCACGGAGAAAAAAAAAAAAAAAAAGGTAAGGTGTGCCATCAAAAACAAAACTTGTGAAAAAACTTAGTCTCGCAATCAGTTCTTTTACCGTAAAATGTGTTATTTTTATAAATTACCCGACGTATATTTTACTTTTATGTTTTTCCTTAATTTATACCCGAAACACTAATTGCCTTTTTACACTTGAAGTTTCTATGTCTGCTAGAACTGCCGTAGAGTTTTGATGATCGGTCAGTCAGTGAGTGAGTTGTGTGGGTAAGTGAGAGACAAAATTAAGAAACTTCGACTTGTTATAATGGTTAGACTACTGGTTCAAATTGATTGAAATTAGAAATGTGTTGTGCCTTTAGTTACTGAATTAAGGCTTCTAGTTTTATCCACAACGAATTTATTGGGACATCGAAAATTACCTGAACTGTTTTGAGAAAAGATGAGATAAAGAGAAGGAGAGATTTGAGAAAAGGATGGTATCTATACTAAAGGCTATCTTAAAATTCATACTTACAGAATAATCCGGTGCAAATACTAATCCAACTGCAACTAATATGACGTAGTAAAATATAAAAATGCAATCTTTGAGCATCTGTAAAGATAAGATACAATGTATTAGCCTGATCTTTTGTTGCCCTTTTCCAACAGCTGTAATTTTTCCAAATTGAAAGAAATAATATTATTACCATTATCTTAAATGTCAATCCCACAGAATTAATGTTCTCTAATAATTTAGCGTACGTGACTACCACTCGTAGTATATCCTTCGGTTCAAGATTTGATATTGTTTCGTTAGATTTAAAAACCAATTTCTCAAATGATATTCTCAAAGTTTTAGTAGAAAATAGGGCCCATTCAAAAATAATAGATCTAATCATGCCATTGAAAAAAAGGCCTAATCGTTTCGTTAAAAAACCAACCAGTATAAAATGTTTGTACGGGCTATCCAAGTTAACCTCCATGACTTCCCAAATTATATAGCACTTCATAAAAAACATAAAAACGAAGACAGTTATTGAACGTAAAATGATTCGATATCCGGTTTTGATTGAAAAACTTGTCATAGTTGAAACTAAATTCGTATGAAAACGAAAAAAGAAATTCCCATCAATAAAAGATAATGATGCGTCTATGAGATAATAGCATCCGTGATACATTATAATGTGTCTATAATATAAACTATCCTCTTCATGGTAAAAAATATAAGTAGCAATACATGTGGAAAAAATTAAGATAATATAGAAAAAGCGTGCAAAAATATTCAATAGACGTCGTTGAAAAAAATTTATATAATATCCACAAAAATACCCTCCAATAAGGAAAGTCCATATAAGAGGGGACAAGAGAGTTGGGTGCGACATTTTCTTTTACAGAAATTTTAATACAACTTTCACCATGAATGTTTCCCACTGCAATAATCTTTTTAGAATTTAATCAACGGTTTAAGGCACTATCTCCATCTATCATGAAACGTCAACCAATATTCCGATTGATCTATGTATTTTTAATCACATTAAGTAAATTGATGCACATTTTCATTTATTTGTAATTAATGTTCAAAAATTTGATGTGTGGTAAAATTGGAATAAATAAGAAATATTTATTGAAATTGGTAGATTAGATTTATTAATTTGTAGAATAGAGGTATTTACGAACCGAAACGAAATAGAAAATAAACTTCTAGAAATTGGTGTATTTCAAAGGTCAACAACAGACATGTAAGCGCCCTGTCGTTTTAGATATTCATTCACTTCTTTAAAAGTGACTCGTTTCCCTTTTGTCCCATTAGAAACTTTCTTACTCATAAATATCTAGCAAAGTATATGCCCACAGGACGATGTCTAAGCGGGACGAGGAATACCAAAAACCTTTTTTGATCAGCTTAATCGTTTAGCGTTGCATAAAGAAGTACCTAAATTAAGTAAGACTACCTCTGAATGATGTTATCTAATTCCGAAGAACTGTTTGATACTTGAAACTTTATTTCATCGTAGACAGCGAGAAAAAAGATGATATTTTAGTAGTACTTCGACGTCAAGTGTACCACGAAGAGGCGCTTTTTAAGACACGTTTGGTCATACACAACCACTTTGTTGAACCAGCCACTAAACATTATTCTGGACCGATAAAACTTGTTGATCTATCTAATAACAAAAAAAAGCCCTATATAATTTAAATAATATTTCACCACTATCTTCAATGTCAATACCACATAATTAAATAATATTGGAGTCTAAAAGAAATATTTAAGTGTAACTTATCAATAACTTTCAAAGCTAAAGCTATGAACTCATGTCTACTACCCAGCTTTACTTATGGAAGCCAGACCTGGAAATTCTCTACACAAGCTATGAATAAAATCAATGTATGTCAAAGAGGTTTAGAGCGACGCATGTTAAACATAAAGAAAATGGACAAAATAAGACACACAAAGATAAGAGCCGTCACTAAATTTACAAACGCTTTAACTTTAACAGAAAGTGGACCAAACGAGTTACCCATTGTGATTGGAAAGAAACACCAGGCAGGCTGGGAAGATGTTCTGAAAAGATCAGCTGGCATAAACTGGCACTCCATAGCACAGGACCGACAAAAATGGGCAACTTTGGAGGAGGCCTTTACCCAAACCGAATATTTTTGGTTACTGCAATATAGTAACTACCAACTATTGTAAAACAGGAAATAAAAAGGCTTATTATTACTATTATGTTATTAAGTAATATCCAAAAATACATTCCAAAGAAGAGAGTATAATATATAACAGGAGATGGGAAGGTTGGTTAATGACATTTTTTCCAACAGAAATTTAAATACAACGTCTTAATAAAAGTTTATTCTGTTAACACTGCTCTCTCATATCATTCAATATTATTTTCAAAGTGTTAAGGTATTAACTTACTTTGTTATTAAACATTTTGTTTGTAAATCAACGAAAATGTATTTTACTGACTGTTTGTCCTTTGGCGTGATGTTTATTGCAATTATAACATTAGCTAGGATGCTATCATACTTATTGTCTAACTAATAATAATAATTATATTTAATATTTCCAAGTCCCCATTTTATTATTATTTGGAGTAAAACCAAGTCTTAAAAATCTGAGCCAATTATCGGAAATCTTTAACATTACTTATTAGCGAATATAGAGCCCTAAAGCATGCTACAGCAAATTTAAAATAACAATAAAACAATATTTATTCACTTTATTTAATGCAATACACACTGTAACACATTTAATCTTTTGATGAAAGACCATACTTATGAGGTTTTCTAAAAATTAATCCTTAATTTAAAAATATTCAAGAAATAATTATTATCCAAACACATGCATAAATTGCATAGTCACGATGACGTAGGTAGTTAACAGTGCAAAGAATTGAAATGGCAGTGAAACATTCACAGATATGAATCGCCACACCGTGAACTCGAATGGAACTATCTCTAGCAACATTAATGCGTCCTGAGCCTTCCTGCGAATTTCTTCATCTGAAATGATTATATAGGGTTGAAAGGTTTAGATTTATACATAAATTGAAGTTTTGCCTAACCTTCTATATTATGTCATGTGAATATACTCTTATTGTTTAATGGGCCTCTCCATTAGTTCATATTTAGATGTGTATATAATATTTACCCTTAGAGACACTAGAGTTATTTCAGGGTTATGCCTTTAAATTTCATCGTGCATTGGACAAACTCATACTTAAGGCCTATCATCCAATTTCTGCCAATGTTACTAATATTTTAGAGCTTCAACTATTTTTATAAAGATTTGTGTGATCTTTTTTATTTTGGTAAGTAGTATCATTCTCAAGCATACAATTTTGTAATGTATGCTTGAGAATGATACGTCACGTAACGTCACGTGAAATGTAGAAATTTACGTGACGTAAAGTAAATCTTACCTGAACTATGGGCAGATATCTCTACATATATCAGTCTTATTTTATCTACTTCAATTTTTGCAAGCTCCATAAATACACAAGGTAAAAACAACGTTGACATGTATACAGCCACAATTACAATAATGACTTTGTTTATCTGAAAATAATTAAGTCGAATTGTAAACGATAATGCGAATTCCTATTGTTTACGATAGTGTAAACAATTTGCCAAAGATAGGCGACAGTAGTGAAAGTTGTGCGGCGCTACTAACACGACCTTCATAAATGAAGAAGTAAACGATAACACTTTATGAGGTCAATTATAGTTTTTGATTAGGCAGATTAAAAGGTAAAATAAATTGTGCGTGTACTAGGTGTACACACGTAAGAAGTGAAACTTCTTTATGATCTTATTTTTCGAAAAATGATCTACTATATGCAACTTTACAGAAATTCGTTAAATTAGATAAAGTTTAACAAAAGGCTTTTATTATCATAGACATGAATACAAATATTTCATTTTACCTTATTACTACGATGATTATTATAGAATTTCTTTAATTGTAATAGAATTATTACTATCATTGAAAAACGTGACGATTTGCTACAAAATTTCTCCCATACGTCGATAAAGAAGTTTCATTCCAACGCCGATAAAGAAGTTTGACTTCAAAAAGCAACATGGCGCGTAACCGAAAAATGTGACGCGTAACGAAAAAATGTTACACAAATTTTTTTCCAACCTCGATAAAGAAGTTTCACTTCAAAAAAACAAAACTTTTAATCTATATAATTATTGCTTGCTTTGTATAAACTCTATAACTTCCCGCCTGCTTTTTGCACCTTTTACTACGGGTATTTTTCGCATCACCTCGACATCCGTCGTTCTACAACTAATCGTTTTTAAGGCAGTTTTTGCCGTGCACCGCCACTATGTGGCACCAGCTGCCCTCTGAAATATTTCCGAACCAAATCGACTTAGGTTCCTTCAAGAAAAGAGCGTACCAATTCTTAAAAGACCGGCAACGCCGTCGCAAGCCCTCTGGCATTGAGAAATTCACTTGCCTGTTTGCCGCCTGTTCTTTAAAAAAAAGGTGTTTTCGGTATATACCTATGCAAGTTTATATATTAAGTAATAAATTCACATACTTACAGCATTTTCTGGTGCATACACTATTCCAAAAGAAGCGTATATCACGCAAAAAAATGTGAAAAAACAATCCCTCAGTATCTGTAAATAGAATACATATTCATTCTTATATTGACAGAAATATGTATTTGTATTTATTCAAAGCTCAAATAGAAAAAAATTGATTTCATTGTGTTCTGAAACTTATACGGTTACACGACCTCTTGGTTCATTTTAACGCGTTCTTAGAGTCGTACGATAAACAACATGAATGATGACATTTATTATAAAAAAACTTTTTCTTTTTTTATACGCATTGTTACAACAAATACTTCTTAGCCCTCTTATATCAGCGGTATTTATTCTACTTTCATTATTTCTCTGCCACAACCAACATCCACTACCGTACGTCAACGGTGGCACAAGCCTCCCCTGTCAGTACAGCCTGAAAAAGAACTTGCCTGAACAATAAAAATTCAATAAAATATTACCGTTATCTTCAGCGGAACTCCAACAGAATTAATATTTTTTAATAATTTTGTGTATTTTGTCACAACATCTAATAGTACTATTTGATTAGGTTCCAGTATTGTTGCATTTGATTTATTGACAAGTTGGTCAAAGGATATTCTCAATTTCTTAACACAGAAACAGTTCCATTCAAAAATTATACATCGACTGATACCAGTGGTGAAATTACCAAATCTTCTCGAAATTATCAAAAATATTAAAAGCAAATCAGTTTCAACCAGTTCAGCTATATAATTCCAAACAATATAGAATTCCATAAAAAATATAACCGTGAAAACTGTTATCGTACGCAAAACAGAGCGGTAGCCAATTTTCAACGAAGAGTCCGACATAATCGAGTGTACAGTTGAGTGAAAACGATAAAATACATCCCCATCAATAAAGGCCATTAATGCACCAATAAGAAAATATAATAAGTGACATATTACACCATAGGCATAATACGTACTTTCTTCTTTGTATAACTGAGTAACAGTTTTATAAACTGTAATGAGTATCAAAATAATGCAAAGAACACGAGCAAATATATTAAAAATGTGTCTTTTATAAATGATGGTATAATATCCACAAAAATTCTGTGAAATAAGAACACTCCACATAAGTGAAGGTACGGTTGGAGGCATTTTAAATTCAGTTAATAGAACCTCCACCGTCAAAACACTCAACTGAAGTAACTAACAAGCTTTCTAGATATGGTTAGCTATTGATTTGTTATTAAATACTTACCAATTATATTATTGTGCTCGTATCTATCCATTCAATTACGTGCACTTTTAATATTATTTTTGTAATCAGTAAAAACATTTCAATGATTAATTCATAAATATATTCGTTATAGAAATAATTACGTTTTATGACAATGACACTTTAAATTTAAGGTGTTTCTAAACCTAATTATCTGGGTCAGATGTCCTAAAAAAACAAAGTTACCGATGCACTAACTTTTTCCCTTAAAATAATGGAAATAATTTGCATCCAGCCTATACGAGTACGAAGCCAGGTACAACGACGGCAGGTGGACAGAAATACAGGTGAAATGACCGGAGCCATGGTACCCAAGATCGAAAGGCCGGCCTTATGCCAGATGGACAGACGAAACTAGAAGGTGAAAGATGGGTGGAGATATAGGTGGAACTGAAATCTTTGACCTCCTGGTTATTCGTGTAAAAATAAATAAACGTTTTCTTTTTTTTATTACTTAGTGTTAATGTCTCGTGTCGTATGTGTTACTACATTTATGGAATTAAATAAAGCAATTAAGATATTATTATTTTTAACTTAGCGCTAAGTACAACTTCCGCATGTCAAATACAAAAGCGTTTGGGTTGGACTATTAAATTAAAACGCTTTGGGCATGCGAGAGTCTCGACTTTGAATCTAAGATTTTAAGTGATCCAAGTCCTACTATTCTTTAAAGTCCGGCAATGAACTAAGATCGCCTGTCTATATGTTCCAGACATTGATACTGATTGTATCTCTACACTGAGTACTTACTTGTCGCAGATAAGATAGCTTGATATTAGTTGGGTGAAATAAAATGTTTTATTATTTAATTAACAGTTTAATGCAGATTATAGTACAGTAGTTTAATTGTAACCACACATGAATACAGTGAGTTTAGTGCATCAATAGAATAAACTATGTTTGGGCAATCCAGCCTTGCGATTCTGTAACTCACTTTTCGAACTCACACAGCGGTTTTCACAGAGGCGGTTGCGCTCAAATCAGTCGTAAAGCAGTCATTTTACGATTTGGCATTCTAATAAACAATAAACTACAAGCTCCCTCCTTATCAGAATACGCAACCGCCGCTGTGAAAACCGCTGTGTGAGTTTGAAAAGTGAGTTACAGAATCGCAAGGCAGTACCTACGCTATCACCACCAGCGTGTCTCTATTGACTTTCTCTTATCTCACTATCGAACAGTGACACAAAATCACTCCATACCTGTGTAAACTAATAATGTCGGCTTCTATGAAATAAACTGAATACGAAAGGCCCTATGCGTAAAATTGTCGTCAAAGACATCGTGAAATATTATTTTCAAAGTATTAAATTAGTAACAAATGGATTAAACAAAGATGTTATAACCGAACAAAAAATAATTAGATTTACATTAATTTTGAATTTTGCACTTTTAAATATCTATTTGCTACGTTGTGTTCCAAATATTATGATTAATTAATTAATTTTGTATGTTACATTTATAAATAAAAAAAAAGTGTGTGTGTGTCAGCTACGACGCACGATTAGAGTTTACTCCTTACGAACGATAAAATGGCGATAATGTTCTGTGGCTGTCGACCATATTTTCATACTAAAGGTGGTAAGAATATATGTTTTTATAATATAAATGTTTGTAGTAGTAATAAAACGTACCTACATCATCTATGCCCAAATAGGATTTTCTTTCTGTGACCAAAGTTACCTTTATAGTAAGAGAAGAATAAGAATGAACAATCTTTTTATTTTTAATTTCACTGACCATTACTATTGACAAAACTCTATGGCACGCTAGACAATCTACTTTTATTTTATACACCTGTCAGCACTGACAATGTTGTAACGTGGCTGTCAAAACGTGAATTCAAAATAAAAAAGTCTGTGTAATGTATTCCATCTCATTCTTTTACACGTTCAATCCTACAGATATATATGTTTGTCTCTTTCTACATAACGCCTCAACTTTTTGTGTTACACTTGATTTTACTCCTCATAAAATTTCCGTACCGGGCCTTATAACTCAAATCGTTTCTTAAGGAGTAAACTCCAATAAACTCCAAAAATACATATAAATTATCTTACATTGTGTACCAAATATTAAAATTATCCAAACACGTGAGTAAATTGTACAGTAACTATGACATAAGATGTTATGAGAGCTAAGAAATGTAAGGGCAGGCTAATATTAATAGAGATGAGGCGAAACACGTCTAATTTAAATGGACGCACTTCAAGTAGCATTAAGGCATCTTCTGTTTTGGTGAGTATCTTGTCATCTGCAATGTAAATTTAAAATGAATTATTAAGCGATTAAAGACAATATTCTTAGACATTTTAGGCCAATCAAATTTGTGCCGTGCCATGGTAATAAGACGTGATCATAATTTTTATTGTATAAAAATATTGCAATAATTAAATTTGGGCCACGGATTAAATCTATTATATATATATATCACCGTAAAATTGTAAAAACCGTTAGATTGTAATCTATCTCGCGAGATTATAAACTGTCGAAAGATTGTGAACCTCAGCGTACTGCTTACAATTTAACGTATTATTTATTCGGTAGATTGTAATCTATCGAAGTGAAACCGTCAAATTGTGAAACGGCCATTTTCTATATTATTATATATACTATTACATTAATTTAATGTTTCAATTAGTGTATGGTTCCGAAAATTTTTACATTACATTACATTTGACAAGTAATGGTTAAATTAGGTTTAAATTTAAAATTAACAAATGAGGAAATAATCGATTCGATTAGGTTCAACTTTAAAATCATCAAATGAGGAAATAATCGATTGGATTAATTTACCGAGAATGTCACATCACTTATAACCAATAGAAAACGAGAATGTCACATCTCTTTAACCAATAGAAAAGTAGGAAATGGCCTTTCACAATTTGACGGTTTCACTTCGATGATTACAATCTACGAATAAATAATACGTTAAATTGTAAGCAGTACGCTGAGGTTCACAATCTTTCGACAGTTTATAATCTCGCGAGATAGATTACAATCTAACGGTTTTTACAATTTTACGTTATATATATATATATCATTGATCATTTATAGGCATATAGTTTCTTTATACTGTTTACCATTCTATACACACAGCGATTTTCAGGACATTCGCAATGATTAGATAATCAAAGAAGTAAATAGGAATTGTGCAATAATAAAATAAATATAGTGAGTCACGCAATGACCTTTATGGTGAAAGTTTGGCCCTACATAATAGACCAGGTACTGCCTTCAGTAGTGACCTAAGAGTTACTAAACGATGTAGATAATAACAGTAATTATTATTAATTTGCAAGAATATAGTGTAGGTATTACAAAACATAGATATTGAACAGGAAATTATCAGATGTCTTGACACTATATAGTATAGTAATTAGTCATATTAATTACCTGAGCTTAGTGTGTATATTTCTGTTAATAACAGCTTAATTTTGTCCACTTCACTTCTTGTAAGCTCAATCAAAATACAAGGGTAGAAGAAAATGATTATGTGGTACAGAGCTTCAGCTACCATGTAAGAATTCACCTAAAACAAAATTATTCTACAAGTCAACAAAGTCATAAACTGTTTATATAATTATGATAAGTAAATATAGGTTTAAGTATGACCCTAATTTGTGCATTTTGTCAAATCCTAGTAAAATAATATTGCTGTATACTGCCTAACGATTTCTGAACGTTTTAGAACACTCAAATAACTGAGAGACAGTATAAATTTTAAAATTAAACTGTCCCTAATTAAACTAGTCGTATTATATTATAAGTTAAATCCTCCGTACAAATATAGCATATCCAGATCCTGATGAATAATAATTGCATATATAGTTAGTATTGCTAGTGAAGACTAGATCACTAGTTAATACAGAAACATTTTTATAACTTCCATTTTATAGATATTAAATAGAATATACACCCGCTTAGTGGTGGCTCCATGGGCAAATAGTTAGTTTGATTCTCAATAAATGGTTGATCAACTAACTGTTGAACCGAGAGAAATATCAGCCAAACATATGCACAAACTCGTATGGGAAAGATGTATATTTACATATAATTATAATGATTTCTAAAATAGCACTATTTGAGCGAAATTAAATCAATCAACTTGAATTTAGTTATCTATAAACTAGTAGACTCGGCCAAGCGTTGCTGTGGCTAAGATTTTTGTTATTACATAGTAGTAAACTATTCAAGAGAAACGGCAGGAGAACACCAATCCACCATGCTTTTTTGGTGGTTATGCCATTAAATTGTAGCTTATGTAATTATTTTGATTAGGATCAATACCTATGTACGAATAAAGAGCCATTTCTAGCGGTGGTATTTTAATAAAAAAAAATTATAAAAGGACGCTTTATTGTGACGTAACTATAAAAGATAGAGACATGCCGTCCTGAAAAGTTGTATTTCATCATTTTGTTCTATCATTAATAGTTTTCGCAGCGCACACGATTGAAGGAAGTTTTTTGTTTATTTTTTTACACCTTGGGTTAGATTATTCAAGTTCTATTAAGTATCCCTATTTTTTTTTTAAATGAAACATAGCCTATGTCACTCGGGAATAATGTAGCTTGCCAACGGTGAAATTTTTTTTGAAATCGGTCCAGTAGTTTCGGAGCCTATTTCAGATAAACAAAAAATCAAACCTTTCCTCTTTATAATATTAGTATAGATACCTCTCTTGTGGAGTTGTAGACGACTCCAACCGTGGTTATCAGTACATAGATAAATGCATAGGAAAAATTCCAAAATATCTGAAAAGATAAAATACCATAAGAACTTACCAATTACCAATTATAGTTTTATGTCTTAATAAACGTTAATATATCTAAATCAAACGACAACGATATACCTTATGTATACAAATAATATATGTATTGTATTGTTTTTCTATGATTCTATGCAAAGATTTAATCATCAAAATTTCTTATACAAGATATTATTACTTTTACATAATCACATACATATACCGTTTCAAAGAGCCGGTTTTAACAGGGATGCTACTATTCGCTACTAAAGGGAAATCAAATATCACATCAACGAAATAGAAATAAGAAACTGAATAATGTTTCGAAGTAAGGTAAGGTCTCGTTCGTTATAGTTACACCAAATGTTATAAAACTGCGCCAGCGTATAACAGTTACATAAACCCTTCCATCAGATATGCATCAATGAGTTTTATATAAGCATAAAACAAATTAAACATATTTACCAAAATCTTAAATGTTAATCCCATAGAATTAAGACTATCCAAAATACCAAAGTAGCCAAAAATTACTCTTTGAATATCATCCGTTTGCAAATTTGATACAAGTTTCTTTCCCTTAAATGATTTATCTTGGAATGTCATCCTCAAAGTTCTCATATAGATCCATATCCATTCAAATGTCAAGTTTCGAATGAAATCATTAAAAAGAATTCCGAATCTAACCAAATACCATGTAATAAAACAAACTAGATATTTACTATTAAAATCCAACGAGAAACGCTGTTTAAAACCAATATAATAACTCCATCCAATAAAGGATTTCTCAAACAAATGTATCAAAAAGATAGAAACAGTTATAGACATTGATAGCTTGATTTTACGCGATCTCATTTGACACTCCAACTTACGCAATTTTCTATGACAATAATGTAGGACATTACCACCCACTAAAGACAATATTACAGCTAGAGTATAATCTATAAGATTAAACAAGGCTATTGAAAAAAAATACAAGTTTATTTGATGTTGCATGCTTTTCAGACTACCATATAATATATTAACAATCAAAATTGCCATTATAATCCGAAAAACAGTGTTCCACTTTCTTCTTTTAAAAAAATCGGTGTAAAATCCACAGAAGTATTGCAATATAAAAATCGTTTTAAGGAATTTTGATGTTTTTATCATTTTGTATGTGGTAAACAAGTCTTTACTGCAACACTTTTAACCGAAATAAAGCAATCATCGCTTTGAACACTTTCACTATAATTACCTTTCCCATACTCGTATCATTATCGGCCATATAGTCATGACATTTATCAATATATACGGTATAGGTAATTAAATATGAAAATTAAATCGATATGAGATGCACGATCAATATATATATATATACTTATTACTAATTCAGGGTTTGACCGGTGCGATATGAGATATAAGATCACAAAGCTATACGAAATTTTGGACTAATAATTCTAAATCTGGTCAATTCTCAAATTCATTATTACAATATGATATGTAATAATTTGTTTATTTACTTTAACCGTTAGTTGTTTAAACCTACGGATATAATCATACCTAACCATCAAATAGATACAAAAAAATTTAACTAAGTAAGTAACTGTTACATAGGTTGGAAATATTAATATCTTTTTCATGATACGGCCTTTGCTTTCATAATAATGATAAAGTACAGAAAAATTACACAAGAAATATTACAAATAATTCTTACTTCATTTTAATATATAACATCCAACATCCGCAATTTAAGCACATTTCTTGAGGAAAATTTAAATAGTGTACACGTTTATAATTTTTATTTCAATAAAATGGATTTTTCTGGCAAAGTAGTACTTATAACTGGAGCTAGTTCGGGTTTCGGTGCCACCACTGCTGTATATTTAGCAAAACTGTCCGCTAAACTAGCACTTGTTGGGCGAAATGAAAAAAACTTGTTAGAGACAGTCGCAATATGTGAAAAAGAAAAAGGTTTTAAGCCTTTAGCTATTGTTGCGGATATTACGAAGGAAGCCGATGTGGAAAGAATTATAAAAGAAACATTAGACCACTTCAAGCAACTGGACGTGTTAGTCAATAATTCTGGAATTTCAAAAAGCGGTGGAATCAAATCTCTAACTCTGGAATCATATGATATTGTAATGAACACCAATGTACGAGGTACCTTCTATCTCACATCATTAGCAGTACCACATCTGATAAAGACAAAAGGAAATATCGTTACAGTATCAAGTATAACTTCATCGCAGTCTATACCAAACATGACAGTATACACAATGTCAAAGGCTGCGCTGGATCAATTTACCAGAAATCTCGCAGTAGAATTAGGACCAGATGGTGTACGAGCAAACTGCGTTAATCCAGGTTTAGCTAAAACTAATATAGTTAGTCGAATGGGCTATACGGACGATCAGTGTAATGCATTATTTGAAAAAATGGTAAAGGAGACACCTTTGGGCAGATTAACTGAACCCATTGATGTGGCTGCTTTAATTAGTTTTCTAGCAAGTGATCTGGCTAAAAGTATTACCGGTGCCACACATTCAATCGACGCAGGAAGGTATTTGTAAAACTATTAAATTTCACTTACCCGGGGATGATATTTAAGGAATGACATACCGTTTCTTATAGAACTTTAATACAGTTACAGTTTACAATATCTAAATAATATATAAATATATATTAATAACGTTTTCTTTTTATGTTTAAAGAAATGCTTGTATTTTGGATGTTTGCCTTGTATTTATATAATCTCTCTTACTTCAACAATGTATCAAAATAATAATAATGTCCTATATTTTATTATAATAAACATATGTATTATATTGCGACGTGTTTATTTAATTACAAACAAACTTAACAGCAGTATCATTGCTTTTTCAAAATATACTCCAGGACATCAAATTGCTGAAATATATCAAAATTTATAATAACTAATGTATAATATATGTAAATCTTGATATACTTATGGCAAAATCATGAGCATGAAGGTAAAGAGAATTTATGAAGTATTATATAAATATTTTAAATTTTATTCAAAATAATTTATTGAAATCTCAAATGACGACTCAAACGACGTAAATTAAAATGCCACGTGTTTTTATTATAGAATAAATAAATTGATATAATTAAATTTATAATCTGTATTAATTTTCGACACTTTTAAAATTTTAATGACAATTTAATTCATTAAATTCCTGACATATCTTCCTTTTCCTTCCCTCTAAAGTCGGAAATCTAAAGTTTTAGATTTGTATAAATATGAACAAGATTTAAAAATTAGTTTGCCAAAGAAGTTTCACTTGTGTAGGTATTTTGTACGCACGCACTTTTTATAACTGGGGTATTATGTTTTTATTAACGGGCAGGAGCCTCACCTGATGTTAAGTGTGACCGCCGCCCATGGAGACTCACATTGCCAAAAATTAATAATTCAGCTGGTTCCACATAGTGTTGGTGCGCGGCAAAAACTGCATTAAAAAACGCTCACATGTGGAACGACGGACGTCGAGGTGATACGGATGATATTTTGTATTCTGCCTGGTCGTCCGAAAATGAAACTCAGCTGCGGTTATTAGTCCGAACAACTCCATGTTTATTAAATATTTCCTAGTCCCCAATTTATTAATATTTGGACAAAAACCAAGGCTTTTTCAGACTTGGTTTTCTCTGAGACAAATTATTGGACCTTGACTTATCAGCGAATCTAGAGCCCCAAGGTATCCTACAGCAAATTTAAAATAACAATAAAATTCAATATTTATTCGCTTAATATTACGCACTATAACACATATTATTTTTTTGATTAATGACTATACTTATGATGATGCCAAGGTTTCTAAAAATTAATTCTTAATTTTAAAATATTTTAGAATTAAATATTATCCAAACTTCTTTTGGTGCTATCTCCTTGCAAAGGTTGGGCATCGCTTGTTTACCTGCATGCTTATTTTACCTCTTACTACAGGTGCTTTCGGTGTATAACCTTTACAGGTTGATGTATAAAGTAAGAAAATCACATACTTACAACATATTCTGGTGCATATACTATTCCAATTGAAGCGTAGGTATATCACGTCAAAATATGTAAAAACGCAATTTCACAGAAGCATGTAAATATAATACCTTATATTTATAGTACACAAATTTCTTTTGTGCAAAAAAATCTGACAAGCAAAAATTGATTTCATTGTATTCTGAAACTTATACTCACTATTACACGAACCCTTGGTTAAATTAACTCAGAGTGGTTCATTAAATTATCAATAAGAATGATGCAGGTACGAGATTTATTATTAAAACAAAAACTGTATTCTTTTTTGAAGTGAAACTTCCTTAGACGCATGAGGGTAACATTTTTACGAATGAAACGCAGTATTAAAAAGTGCGTGCGTACAAAGAACACGTCATGTCAGAACTCATACTCATTGTTCATATTTATAAAAATCTAAAACTAGATTTCTGAGACTTAGAGGGAGGGATAAAGGATAAAATATTAAGTGTCGAAAATTAATAGAAATAATAAATTTAATTTTTTAAATTTATTTCAAAACATAATTTAAACACGTAGCATTTTAATTTACAATTCGTCATTTGAGATTTTAATAAATTATTTTGCATAAAATATAAAATACTAATACGTATACATATTTCATAAATTATTTTTACGAAATTTTAATTTTAAAAATAGAATTTCTATAAGGTAGGTCACCCTTCTCACTCTCTCTCTCAATCGGTCTTAATCGATCTCTCCCTTTTCTTCGACATAAACGCTGCACATCTACGTGATGTTCCGTAAAAAATTTAGCCTCATGCGCCTACAGAAGCTTCACTTCAATAATATTAGCGTCAATATATTAAAAATGTGTCGTTTATAAATGATTTATTTATTTATAGATATTTATATTATATTTATTTTAGATATGATTGTATAATATCCACAGAAATTCTGTGAATTGAGAACAATCCACATAAGAGAAGGTAAGGTTTGAGGCATTTTAAATTCAGTTAATACAGGGTGTATCCACACCCACAAATCCACCACCTTCAAAACACTCAACTAAACAAGCTTTTTAGTTATGGATAGCTATTGACTTGTTATAAAACATTTACCAATTATATTATTGTGCCATATATGTATTCAACTACGTGCACTTTTAATATTATTTTTGTAATAAAAGTAAAAACATTTCAATGATTAATTCATGAATATATTCCTGTAGTTAAGTTTTTTATGATAATTACACTTTAAATATAAGGCGTTTCTAAACCTAACGGATTTGGCGATGGCATTATACTTCTCTCAGAATCTTCACACAGATTTAATGACATGATACCCGATTTACACCAGGTAAGTGGAAGATTCGTACTAAAAATGAAACTTGACAAACCAAAAGCTAAAACGACTCCAACTTCGGTAATAATATCCCTTAAGGCTGATTTACACGGGGTAAGTAGACAAGTCAGTCGCACCGCCAATGTCGGCGCCGCGGCTGACTTTAACTGTTTACATGAAGTAAGTAGTAGTGGTGCGTTTCTCACGATGACCACACGTGTGTGAAGTCAGTGGGAAAAATGAATTCGCGAAAACAACTGAAACGACGATTTAATTATTTGTTGAAAAATTTATCAATTTTGCTGTTGAATGAGTTAATAGAAATGGTAGAAAATGAGATAACTAAAAATAAACGACAATGGGTAAGAAAATGGATTGACGATAGAAACGAAACTGGTGGCTCTGCTTTGTTGCTGAAGCAATTGCGATTAGTGGATTCTACGGAGTACAAACTGGCCATATAATTGCACCAATTTTAAGGTTTCGTCTTCGCTAAGCTTAATTTTTATCGCCAGCGAAAAAAACGTGGTCACTCTACAACGCAGCGGCAGTGACCACGCACTGACTTGTCTGTTTACACGGGGTTTATTTGGCTGGCGCGGGGGTGCGCGGGTGGCGGGGGGCGCCAACTGACTTTAAAATATTCGTATCCGAATATTCAAGTCAGCGCTGACTTCAAGCCACTGTACTGACTTCAAATCAGTTTACACAGGGTTTTTTTCGGGTCAGCACTGACTTGCCTCGAATTTGTAGTCAGTTACTGACCCTGAGTAAATCAGCTCTTAAGATACCCAATAAGATCAAAAAAATTAAAAAAAAAAAACATTTTATCAATGGGTAACACATTGTACACTTATGACTTGTCAGGTAATAAATAGGCTTTTTCCTAGTGGGAGTGCCATGCTGTTGCCTTCGGGCTTCAGCCAAATGGGCAGGCACGACCGGGGCAGTACCACTGTCTCTTAGAAAACCGGCGTGAAGTGATGCAATAGGTTCGCCTTATTGTACTCGCGTTTCGTGCGGTGAGGGAGACTCCCGGAGCCCATCCTCCCCCCATATGAAATATGAAGGTGCAGAACAAACAGAATATACCCCAGGGGGGTACCACACGCGCTCGTGGTGGAGAATCCCCCTCTGGGCGTCCAACACCGGGACACTCAGCACCCGGTGGTGGACGCACAGGCTGCCCTTCGTAGTCTGGGGGGGGCAATTCTGCGCTCAACAAAAACAGTTATCGTTCTCGGGGCAAACAGAGCAATTCAACAAAGGCACCCCCGTCCATGCTCGCCGTGGACTTCACAAATGTTAGGGGGCTCAATTCCAATATCAACGCAGTCCACTACCATTTAGAGACTGCGAAGCCGGCCTTGCTCTTTCTTACCGAGACTCAGATTTCCTCCCCGGCTGATACTTCCTACCTCTCCTACCCGGGGTACAAATTGGAACATTAATTTAAGCCGCGGGCGGGAGTTTGCGTGTACGTCAGAGAGGATATCTGTTCTCGTCGCCTCGGGACGTTTGAAGCAAGGGACCTATCTAACCTCTGGCTGCGCGTAGACTGCGATGACCATCCGCGATTCTACGCATGCCTGTATAGGTCCCATAGCGGAAATACCGAAACTGACCGACTCATTGAGCACATCCAAATGGCTACAGATTCCCTGCTCGAAAGGGTTCCTACCGCTGAAATCGTGATACTTGGCGATTTTAACGACCACCATGCCGATTGGCTTGGCTCTGAAACCACCGATCACGCGGGAAGATCCTTTCACGACTTTGCTTTAGCCTACGACCTGACACAAATGGTCCCTGCGATTACGCGAATACCAGATGTCGATGGTCATAAACCCTCTTTGTTGGACCTTCTGCTGACTTCACATCCGGAGAACTATCAAGTCTCTGTTGACCCGCCATTGGGTTCATCGGATCATTGTGTGGTCCGGAGTACTGTGCCATCTACGCACCCTTCACGGCCCCGCTTTATGGGTTGTCGCCGTATTTGGCACTATAAGTCAGCAGATTGGGACGGGATGCGGTCTTTCTTTGCGTCCTACCCTTGGGGGCCTATGTGCTTTTCGCCGGAAGCTCCAGATTCCGTCGCCGCCTCTTTCGCCGAAGTGGTTTTGCAGGGCATGGAACTCTTTATTCCATTTTCTGCGGTGCCGATCGGTGGCAAGTCTCAGCCCTGGTTTAAACGTTCTTGCAAGGCGGCCTCGCGTCGAAAGCGAGAATGCT